AAGCCATGTGCACTAAGGAGTATTTCAGCAAGTAAACAAAGGATTAATAAAAGGTGCTTGTGATTTACTGTTATGTGAGTAGAGCTTGTGTGAGCAGAGCTCAACCACAGCACAGCCCTGAAAGGGCTGACCTGAATCTGCTACTTGATTTGTCCCACACTCTGGGGATGCGTGCTGGTTATAACATCTACCGCCACACGATCACTTTTTTCTATATGTGCTCGCTAAATAGGTTAGATATTTGATAAGGCACTCACCAAGGAGGAGCAAAAGGGGCAAAAGCAACAACAGGAGCTTCCAGAGTTTGGGAAGGCATCTGAAACACAGAACATACATACATCAGAGCAATGCACAACTGACAGGAGGACATGTGGCATGAATGCAAAATCCTCGGGTAATAACTCAATATGTTCTCACAGCTCAGGAAATGTGGCTTTACGAGAACTGCAAATGTCTTACTTACAGTCACTACTGCTTGAAGATTATGAGCTGTGGCCACTCGATGGGAGTGAAAATAACAACATAATGACCTAACTTGGCTTTAGAGAGTTCATAGAGTTTGTTAACAGAACTTCCAGCACTTTCAATTAGATATGCAACGTGTATCTGCACTGCTGAGGAAAGCCTAGAATAAAGCTGTCACATACTTAATTGCTAGTTGGAGGTCAGACCTGATCGTACTCACTATAATGATTCTCAGTTGAGCCTGGCAGCTCTTTGTTTGACCAAACTGTGTACACAGCAGTTACAGGGCATCATTAGCATTTATCTGGTGTCTTGTTTCTGGCTGCATGATGAAAGTCCAGTGTTCACTCTCTTTTAACACCGTGTTTGGCCTCTACTAACTCCTGATGAAAATAAGTTCACCTTTAGCAGCTAAAATGCAGGAATCCATCCCATTATATTATTGTACAGTTTTATCTTAGAAAAATCAAATGTAGATATTTTAGTATTTTGAAAGCTATTCAACAGATTAAATGTTAAACTCTCTTCTATTCCTTGCGAGATTCTGAAAGACAGGAGGAGGAGGGATGACTCTTACCGGGTTAGAAAGAAGACGTTGAGCAGAGACATGAGAGACACCAGCTGGTACCATCCTGTTGCAAGAAACCACAGAAGTCCTTTGCCTGCCTTCACTGTTGAGAAAGAAAAATACAAAACACACAGAATGAGAGGGCAAGAAAGAAGTAGAGGATGAACATTTCTAAAAAGATGAAATAAAAACAAGAGCCACTGACCTGGAGCCGCCAGGAGCATCCAGAACAGTGAGAGCACCCTTTGTGCTGCCGTCCCTACACCTGAACCTAAAGCTTTGCCTGCTCTCATCACACAGTAACCTGGCTGGAGGAGGCAGTGACCTGGAAAACAGGGTAAAAGAGGGAAAGGTTTAATTCACTAAACTCAGCTAAAGCAATAAACTGATCGAGCTGCAACTGAATGATCAAAACATACATGTTCCTGTAAATTTATACGGTGTGATCAACAATAAGAGAAGTGCTGGTTAACCTGCATAAACTAGGACGCTCCACAGTGCCCCCGCCAGTCGGCGGGACCTAGAGGACTGTTTGAGGAGGACGGTGTGTGTCTCAGAGACCTGCTTCCCTTTACAGTCATCACCTGTGTAAGCCCAAATGATGGACAGCAGGCACGCAGAATGAACAGAAAAAAGCATGTGTGAATGAACTCATACAAAAACAATAAGAAACGCAGTCGGGCAAATTATCAAAGCAAAGCAAATTAAAATAAAGAAAATGAAAAACAAATTATATTATAATTTTTTAAAAAGCCATGAGCATGCATGTTCTATATAACTCTGCAATGCATGAGATGCTGCACCATGCAAAGCTGCGTTTCCTGACTTAAAGGTCGTTTCTAATTATTTAAGAATTTATTCAGACTCAGAAGAACAACTGAAAATGGTATTTGTCATATTTGTTTCTTTTATTCTTAATTTTAAAGACCATTGTGAAATCCAGCAGCTACTTCACCTATTACTAGTCTAAAACAAGATGCTTTTCAACCAGAAATTTGCTTTATTTCTTGGATCATGGTCAGTCGTGTGGAATCTGACGTTTTTGTGTAAACTGATGGCTCGACATTAGTCTGAGGCACACATTTAAGACAAAGAAACATCTGCAGGTCACGTCGGTCAACGGGCTTCAAACCAGCTAAATCAGTTCACACAACCTTTGCTCGCTGATCTAGACACAGGTCACGCATATCATTAACTCTGTCAATCATGCTACGTGTGAGAAAATGAGCACATGCATGTGTGCGAGTGTGTGTGAGTGCCTGCTTACACAGGGAGCCATTGAGATTAAGATGTGACGCATCTTCAGTAACCAGATCCTTCACATTCATGCTTCCACAGTAGCTCGAGTGAGCTGCAATATACACACAAGGCATGTATTAGCAATATTATCAGTTGTGTGAGAAAGTTATGATGAAAAGGAAGGCGGAGTGTGAGGATGGCAAAATGCACGCCACTAATGTGACGATGAGGAGTCCTCGTGAAGGAAATGAAGAGCAGTAGATAGAAGAGTGAGGAGAAAACACATGTAGTGAAAAGGTCACAGTTGATAAAGTTCTGCAGCTGTGAAAAAAAAA